CCGTATGTTTGACACCCCTGATCTAGGCCTAGAAAAGAAAGGGTACAAGAAAAAGAAACCATTTTCTGAAGTCACCTCAATGGCTTGTCAGGTTAAACGCGTCTGCAAACCTACACGGAGACGGTTCGAAACTACGAGAGTCATCGAGGATGTTTGGGAGTGGTAATCTAAGAACAACTGCAAAATCAACGACTGCGTTGCCGCACTCCCTGAGGAAGTGATGAAGTGCGACAAAAATGCGAAGTGGGCAAATGCGAATGTGGGGAAGTAGTAATAATCCTGGGCTACACGTAGCATTGCCGAACGTAAAAGGAAGTAAAACTAGAGAGTAAAGTTAGGTTATCCCTCAAACAACCCACAAAGAAAAACTTTTTTTTTGGAAAATACGTTATTAAACATGTATTTTAATGCATGGACAATCCGCGCAGTCAACCGGTTTGAGGTCGGAGCTGTCGGCAAGCCAGTTTTGTTGCTCAAAGGCCAGGTGAATGGCTCGGTTGGTAACGACCATGGCTCCCGTGGCAAGAGACCCAGGTTCGAACCAAACCAAGTCCGGCGTTTATTCCTCATGCCAGCCCCCCGGCTTGCTTGGAAGGGATATCCCTGATCAGGGAGCACACACATCTCTGGATGTGGGACATAAAAAATCCCGGGCGGTGAAGGCCGAACCCGGGTAACGTACCATATGTGTCAAGTAGTGTCTCTCAGGTCTTCCCCCTCTGGATGGTTGTGCTCACGCCCGACTGCAATGATCCGCCGCAATCTCACTTGGAATAAGCTGCTAGATTTCCAAAATGAGTTAATGGATTTTGATATAACTTTGATATTACATGCATATGTTCATTTGCTGTATTAGTCAACCCTCAAAAGCGTACGATAGTCCGAACCAATTAAAAGTAGCTAAAAATCGAAACATTAATTTGTTTAATTTGGGACAGAGTGTACATTTACTAAGTAAGGTATCTTTAACAACATTGCAAACTATGAATAAACTTGTATAGACTTCCTCCATATTCGGCCTTTGGTAATGACTGAGAATTTAATCATTCGTAGTATCATGAAAGTTTTGGAATGATCTAGACCTTTCTGTGGGATGGAAGACTTTTGAAGAGTACAGTAAAACGAATTCCTTCATGTGTCCTCATTGGTAACGAGTCATTGTTGCTTTCCTTTACCACGAACTATGCTTAACATGTACGTGTGACGCGACAAACTTTCGTGTGGTGAAATTAAGTACCGACCTTCTGCATACCCGTTGGATGCAAAGCAAACCCTACAACAACCCCCTCCATCTCTCCCTCCCTCCCGGACCTCTCCTCTGTTCAGCCGCTCGTCTTCGTGATAGTCGCATGGTCTATGAAGCATATCCGTTGCCATATTCTCAACTTTTCACCTTTCAATTTTCTTCTGATTTTCCTTGATTTGATGCAAGCAACCGTTCAGAAACTTTGCAGCCTCTTCTGCAATGTAAAGAAGTACATGATGTTCATTGTTCTGCGTTGCCTAAGATCCAATTTGGTTTTAGATATTTTCTTTGCTGTGTTGCCGGATGTTCGTCCGTATTTTCACTCTTTTGACAGACTTCTTTGCAAAGGATTGAAAGAGACATGCAGGACATAGTCTCACCTCCTCTAACAAGCAGGAAACCAGGGGGTTTTTGTGAATCTGAATTGGGAAGATTAAAAAAAAAACTTCGTGGGACTTTACCACCACCACTAATGCTGATGTAATAAAATGAATGAAATGCTCGAAATCGATCATCTTGGTCGCTTTTGAAGTCATGCAGGCAGCAATCTCAGATAAAGTATAAGCTACAGCCATAAAATAAAGGGATGAATAAGTTTTTTTGAGAGAGAGAGAGAGGATAAACAAGTGGTTCACTCCAGCATTTCTGTAACAAATCTCCTTAAGAACTTCCCTGGGATTGCAGTCGCTTTCTCCGGCACTCAGATGGCACCAGTCGCCTCGAAACCGATCTGAAAATCTGTTGCTTTGTCCTAATAGTCAAACTGGATCAACCGTCAGTTTAGTCTGAATTCAGTCTAGTAAATTTGAATTTTAGCGACATTGAATGATTTCATGGCAAGCAGTGATTAAAATGTCATTTTAATTCTGTTGAAGCCACTCAATCCAGCTGAGCTATGGCATTGATCAAAACATGTGCATCATAAAAATAAAACTATCACAGCTGAAATCTCGGTGCGATAAAGCGTGACATGCACCAGACCGACTTAAGTTTATCAAGTTTTATTCCTTCAGGAATGACCCTAAAATCTCACATATCATCGGCGTTAGTTTATGATGAAAGTCTTGAGAGCAAGTAGGCTGCATGCACATTAAGAATCCTCGACATTTAAGCTGAGGAACTCACAAAATCTCGACATTCGGGTCACATTGAAGAGGAAGGGGAACACTAATGAGGGACTCATGTAATTTAAATGGGGAGCCAGAAACTTCCATTTTCCTAAATCACACTGTATTATTAGAAGCCCTAGCCGCAGAATGCTATGGGTGATTTGTAGCTTTTGGTGAGCTATTAATAAATGACATTGCGTCAAGTTAGTTCAACAAGGATCGGTCTAAAAGTCAGGCAAGTCAGAAGAAATCACTTCAAAGTTTAGCACTCTCTCAAGGTTTCGTGCAAAACTTTTACCATATCCGCTTCAAGGTGGGCCCGCTAACTCGTGTTCAATGCAATAGCAACACATCTTGCGGAAGTGCTTTTTATGTAGATGATTGAAATGGAATTGGATCAATTTTCATTTCCTAAAAAATCAGATAGAACCTTGTAGAACTGAGAACTGAGGTGACGATAGAACGTCTGCCACAGATCTGCCTCAGATCCTATAACACGTTCAATGAAAAATTACCCATGTCAGTCACCAGATCACCATCAGTCACCAGAAATGCCTGATGCTCAAAATGATGAGTTGAAAAATGGATTTGATGGATGCAGGGTGGATGGATGAAATCGGAACATCACCGGTTTAGGATCCGTAAATAATGCAAAGAATATTATAGTCATACATGACGCATGTGTTGTTTGAAGAGAGAAAGGTACAAGGTGGGCACAAAGTCAATTTACCCCTGGTTTACTCCTGATCAAGAGGATCCGTATGCTGACCGTTGTCGTCCTTGCACAGCTCAAGTCTCCTCCTGGTGCGTCGAGACATTTTTGCAACATGCTAGGGGTTATGTCTACGAAAACATCCATCCATCATGCATCCAACACGCCGTTAAGAGTCTCTGTTCAATGGTGAAGCGACTGGTGTCTGCCATCTTCACAATAATTGAGCAATGAATGAAGGGATCAAACGGAAACAGACAGAGAAGCTCTATAATAAATTAGACGTCCAACGGTGTGCTTCCAATACACCTGGAAACAGATATTACATATCAAAGACGTAGAATGGAAATTACTCATCCAGGGTGAGGTGACTTTAGACCCAACCTGTACGTTAATTCTCGGAGAAGTAGCTCGACTATCTTCAAGGTAAATCGATCAGTGCATCTCAACAAGTAGAAAGAAACAAAAGTAAACTCAGTTGGTAATGAAAATGCACACAAGCAGTTCTTCCTTTTGTACAGTGGTCCAGCGCACGGAAAAGCATGGCCCGAGTAAAAAAGTGAATGTGGTTAATTTCCCACTGCGACTCGCTTGCCTTGAGAGAAATATGATATCATTTAATCTATTTTAAAAAGTTACCATTCACGAAGTTGAATTATGTAGCTGTCCCAAATTAGTGCACGTATTCTGCAAGTTGTAGAAATCCGAGGTTACTAAGCTTTCAAGATACCCTTGAATTTCTCTCCTTCTGCTCGATGATACTGTACTTCTAGCTAATGTTACTACTATTTGACTTCGTCATGCCTGAGCATGAGTGAACTTAGTCAATACGAGGTTTTCATGTAGAACCTTTCTTATGAAAGCGCAAATTCATCTTCTAAGGCATTAAAAAATGACGAAGTTTAGAAGTGCCTCATCTTGATAAATTTGGCACACAAATCCTAGGCCATTCAAGGCCACGCATGATCTCAGCCAGCTCAAATCAGTTGCGTTCAATTTATACCTCGACTTAACACTAACACGAGTCTCTAACCCGTCAAATGATGGGCCAAAGCACATTCAAATCCCCAGGACTGAAAATGTTAAGGAACTCTTCCCATTTTAATGACAGCGTTTTTCGGCACGTATGGTTAAAAAAAGTCAGGTAACTGAGCCTCAACATTGAGCGGTATGCACCAATATGGTATGCATAAGATCAGTTTCAATTAAATCAGGATCATGTTGTTTCAGGATTTGATTCTGATTCCGGGAAACCAAATCAACTTAAATTGTGGGTGGTTAGAGAATTTGTTTCACTGAATGAGGCTCACCGCCGTAGATGCTCCTGAAGAAGTCAGATTGACTAGAAGTTGAACCTACATGCTGCATAACTATCTAATCTCATTCTCTTCCTCTTCATTTTCCTTGACGAAGAAAGGTCATTCCTTTACGCAATATTCGAAAATAGTATTGATAGATTAAACTGTACAATGATGGCGCTCAAGAAATGCATCAAGCCGAAGTTGATGAATCGTCCCTTTTAGCCAGTTTTCCTCTTTCGCTGGACCATTGCGTTCAGGGGAAAAAGAGTGTCTGCATGGGTGTGACTGAGCCAAAATATCCTCGGTCTCGTCGAAATCTAGCTAGATTTATAAAGGGGCGGTCCCATGAGGATTCATGGGAACATAGAAAGGGAAAAGCCGATGGCGATCAGGACGGGAACGAGGAGGAAGGAGACGGTGTTGGAGATGGCAGCATTGACCATGTTGCATCTATCATCGTCGCACATGCATGTTTGAACCGACCCACTCCTGCCGCATTCCAGGTTCTTGCCCTGATCCTGTTTACCACATCCCCTCGCTTTCCAGATCCCTGCGGCAGCACCAGATATCCCCCTCAACGTCTCAATCAAGATCGAGAGAGCGAGAAAAAGAAGTCATTTACTACCATTGGAGATGTCCAGGCAGACGGCGACGGATCGGTCATCTTTACAAAGCTTCTGGAAGGTGGCATTCCTTGCGTTGAACTGTTCGCAGAGTCCGATCTTTTCCCCTGGGAAATCTTGAACGAGCTTTGTCACCACCTTGAAAGCTTCCTCCTGGCTCTTCGAATCCCCAACCAGACTGGGCTGGCACACGTAACACATCAGCTGGCTGTTGCCTGCTCCTTCCCCCTCTGCCAATCGACATTCAAAATCAGTCTTATACAAGTAATGGCGCATGGATACCTTCGAATCTTATGATAAAGGCCTGTTTTCTCCTCGTCAGGTGTGGATCAGCCTCGAAGGTCCAGACACAAGTCTAAGTTACTTGCAATTAAAGAATTCAGGCAGACATGCGTTTCTGGAGACTGGCTCGGGGAACCCCTCGAGCAAGGAACTCACGAGGCGTCACTAAGAGCGACTAATATCACGCCTTTTAATACTCGTTTAGAGACAGTGTCAACATTGACATAAGCTTCACTTGAGTAAATTTTGCTATACGAGTTTTGTCTTCTGCTTCTTGTCGAAGCGATTGCAGAGTAGTATCTACGTCGGACAACAAACAAGCGTTTCTATATAAATCGAAGAAACCAAGGTTTCTTGTGCCACAGCAGACATGGCGGATAAATCAGCTGTTTCAGAGGAGCAGACGTTACAGATTTTATCCCCTCAGGTCAACTGTCCGGGAACGAAAAGACTCAGACCTTTACTGACCTTTCCTGCGGACTTGTACAATGTTCGCTGGCGGACAGCCGCCTGCTACCTGTTCGCTAACCTACCTGCTCTGGTCCGTTGGTGCGCTGTCTATCAATTATCGTATCGTAACTATGGTAAAAGAACAAATATGAAATGCTTTAAATTTTGAATATATTGTAAAGTAAGGTCAGATGTCAACATTTATTAGCCCCCCAGGTGACTTGGAAGTCCAAAAGTGACGATGCCAAATGTCTTGGGTTCCCAAACTTTTTTTCCTGTGACCCAAAATTCCAAATCATATTTGCCTCGCGACCTAAATGGTACCGGTACCTACGTGCACCACTATATATCAATAAAGAATGCTATTCATACCTTAATTTGCCTAATATAAATGAATATTTAATTAATTAATATTTGTTAAATTTGAAGATAATTAACAATAAGGTTGCTCAGTTTCTTCAAATTTCATTTCATGAGCAATTGAGAAAAGTTTCAAATTTATTGAAGAAACAAAAAAATTGGTACTTCAAATTAACAAACATTTCTGTCAATATTTCTCAGCTAATTCTTAATGAGCTTATTTTTACAGCCGTAATGCAAGCTCCTCATCGAGTTCAGTGGCTTCCATGATACTGTTGCACCTTCTCGATCAGGTGATCCAGTCTTGGGCTGATATTGATGGAGAGAGCGCAGCGCAGATCATGCTGTGGATCAAGTCTATTTCTTGGTGTGGTCTTGAGGGCCACAAGGGTTGAGAATCCAGATTCACACAGATATGTGGTTGGCAACAGAGCCTTTTCAGCTTCGCGGCTAAGAATTGGCTTGTCTTTCAGTTGTGCCCAAAAACGTGAACACTCCAATTGAGTAAATTTTTGTTTCTGAACTTGATTTTCCTGGAGATCAATCAGTTCTTCCTGAAATCCAGGTATGTCATCACCCAATTCAGTGAAGTCCAAATCAAAAGGGTTTCTGACCCAGCTGTGCTTTTGAAGCTCGACATTTTCTGGCATATACCTCGATCCATCTCAACCTGAAGCTTTTTCAAGTGTCCCTGAAAATTTTTTCCAGATCAGTCAGACAAACTTTAGACTGGTCTTCCAGAAAGGCATTCAACTCTGGGAATGCTGCTGCAATCTTGCCCTTGGCCATTTTTTCACTCCAAAGTCTGAGTTTTTTCTTGAAGAATGAAAATTTTTCACCAATATCGACCATGGTTTGGTTGCGATCCTGCATATCTGTGTTCAGTTCATTCAGTTGATGAAATATGTCACCTAAATAGGCCAATTTTGCCAGCCAAGTGGGATCCTTGAAGCGGTCAGCCAAGACGTGCTTCTTCTCGTGAAGAAAAATTTCGATTTCAGTTCTCAGTTCCAAAACTCTTGCCAGAACCTTTCCTCGGGAGAGCCAACGTACATCTGAGTGCAAAGGCAGGTGTTGGTGCTCAGATCCAATTTCATTACACATCTTTCGAAACGCCCTCAGGTTCAGGGCTCTTGCTTTGATGTAGTTGACGATTGCAATGACATCCTGGAAAACTGAATGTAGATCTGGCTGCATTTCTTGGGTTGCTAGATTTTCTCGATGCAGAAAGCAATGAACCACAATGACACTGGGATTGACCTTCTTAATTCGAGCACAAAATCCCAGTCTGCTTCCCATTATGGCTGGAGCTCCATCTGTGCAGACAGCCAAGCAATTTGTCCCCTCAAGGGTATGATTTAAAAAAAAAATTGAAGATGTCCTCGCCTATTGTTGTCGTTGACAGTGAATTGCAGAAGAGGAATTGTTCAGAATGTCATCTTCACCCTTGTACCGTACAAAAACCATGAGCTGGGGATCCCCTCCAATATCAACAGATTCATTTGTTTGGAGAGAAAACTTCCCTGCTTTTTCAGACTTGTCAGAATATGATCCAAAATATCCTCAGAGATTAGATCAATTCGACGTTTGATACTATTATTGGAAAGTGGCACCATCTCCAGTTTCTTTGCCACTTCCTCGCAACACACAGTTCTTGCCATAGCAATGGCAACTGGCTTGACAAGTTCTTCCCCAATGTTGTGAGGTTTCTTGCATTGCGCTATTTTCCATGCCACTAGAAAATAAGCCAGTGTAGCTTTCTCTAAAGAAAAAATGGCTGACTTTGAGGGTGCATCAAGCCTCCTTCGTTTTGCAGCATCTTCTTTATCCCTCCAAAAGCTCAGTGGCTTGTTAGCCAGATTTTGATGCACAGTATTCAAATGTCGCTTTAGTTTGTTTTTTTTCAAATATGAGTTTGCCAAGACCTCCATGCACTGTACACACTGTGCGCGAGATAAGCCTGATGTTTCCTTGAGCTCAGTGAAGCCAAATTTAAAAATTCTAGCTTATATACATATTGAAATGAACCACTACGCTTCTGAGCCATTTTGAAAACCTGGTGCAAGGAGAAAAGTCATTAAAATATGTTATTAGTAGGGCTGTCACGATAGCAGTTTTCAAAACATCGATGCATCGACCTGAACTATTGATAGTGTATCGATGCATCGGGTGGGGGGGGAGGGCGCCGGAGGATTCCATCTTTTCTCGCCGCGATCGGAGCGCCGACTTCTATCCGGCTTCTATTATCTCACGCTTGTGATCGGGAGTGTAGGGGGAATGTGTGACCTTCACAAAGTGTAATGAAACCTACCTCCAACTATCGAAGATGACATCCATTCATCGATGGATGCATCAGGACAGCCATAATTTTTTCCTATTGCCGTTGAGAATCAGCTGCCAAGCCCCGATCACGTAATTTTTTTTCTCTTTTTCTTCGTTCTACAATGTCTTTGGACATCGGTACCGCCAGATAGGAAACCTGCTGATGGTGCCATACTGGCGGTTACCGAAACGTCGGTACAGCCCTAGTATAAGCAACGTCCATGTAAAATATTCACTTTGAGTTCACTTTAAGTAGAGATAAATGCCCCAGGGCAAGTTAAAAATTAAGAAAGTTAAGCCTGCATACTAAAGTGATATACAGGAATATAGAGAGGGGATTAACCAATGTAGGTTTCGAAATCAAGGGAGTATAAGAACAGTCCACTTCCGCAGCATGCACCTGATTAGATCGAGCCGAAGACAAACAGAAGAGAAAAAAATATTCTCGGTCTTCCCCCTTCTCCTTTCTCACTTCCTGTCTCCGATCCGACTTTTTTCCCTTACCTTATAATCAGTCCCAGCATTTCCGGAATTTGATTGTGATAATAAATCGCAAGCCCATGCGGGTCACGCCGCTTCTTCCTTTCCCCGCCTGGACGGACTGTATTGTACTGTACTCGCCTCAATCCAATGGGACATTTCCCCTTTAAAATACTGTGACGGATGAGGATGGCATCGAGGCTCGACTGAATGTCCGGGGTTCGGTGGTGTAGAGGTAGCACACCTGACCGGCAATCAGGAGGCCCGGGTTCAATTCCCGGCCGTTCCTTGGCTTCTTTCGTCTTCTCATGCCGTCCGTCTCCCACTTTCCCTCCGTAACAATACTTTGCCGATGCATCGCGATGGTCGAAAAACTATCGATAGTGGTATGGATGCATCGATCTATCGTGACAGCCCTAGTTATTAGTGATTTGAAACATCAGCAAGCAGGGATTATAAATTTTCAGTTGTATTAGAAAAAAATGAAGAAATTAAGAGTGAACAGATAAACTGATGAAGTTAAAAATATTTGTGAGAGCTCTTGTTGCGGCATGCACTGAGTGACTGAGGAATGAACAGTAGCAGAGCAGTTCTGCTGATCGAGCTGACGACGTGTTGTGACTTACCATAGTTTTCTCTCGTGTTTCTGCACGCACTGTGAAGTGTATCAGAGCAGTCTTGCTGATCGAGCTGACGAACAGACAAGTTGTAAATATATATACAGTATACTGATACTACTTTTTTTCTCATGCTGGTGAGCTGTTGAATAAGACACAGTCTTAGAAGCTATCAGTGTTGCTGAATAACATGACAACTTGCTCTCACCATCGGTTGACTCATTCAATCAGAATACTTTACCATAGTGGCAACCAGAAGGTTTATTGAAAGGAAGTTTGTGCTTTGTTTCCCAGGAAAAAATTTAAAATATTTTATTTTTTGGCACTGAGGGTCTTCCGCGACCCGTCAGAAGGACCTCGCGACCCAACTTTGGGTCGCGATATGATATGGAATATAATGAAACAGAGGATCAAAACAATATATTTGATGGTGCCTCAGGGGCGATCCATCGTACCCCTGGGGTGGGATGTCATGGACCATCTGAGAATCAACAAGGGCCTGACTGAATGCAGACTCTTGTCGCTGAATCGCGTACATGTTCAGAGCGAACGGGTTTTCCTTCTTGAGGAAATGGAAAATAACACAATGCAAATTGCGATTGAAGTTTCTCATCCTCTTGGTAGGTAGTTTATGAGGTTGGTTACAAGTCGATGCTAGGAATTGAATTGTTGAGGCGTTGAGTTTATGAGGATTGCGACTCTAATCGACAACGGGCGTCCTCTTATGTTTTTTCCTCTCTTCCGTCAACACAGTAATCGTCACAAAACATCACGTCATACAACATGAACATGTTTCAGATTTGGCTCATCGCGTACCATGTGCATTGCGTAGCAAGCGGAGTGAAGGGCGTTAAATAAAGCATTCTGTTTAAGACTTTAGAACTTGCTGTAGAAATGCCAGACTTCTATATTTTTTGTATCACACAGGGAACATTCTAGAATTTACTCTATGGAAGTTTTGAAGACTCTAGGTTGCTTGGGTAAAGAGCAACAGTGCTTGAAACTTCTATATTAAAGTTTCGATTTTCCATGTGGCAGCGGATCCAGCAGTGCAATACAGATGTGTCCCATTTGTCGCCAAAAAGCCTACTTCTTATGACTGCATTCATATTGCAATGTTCTGGACTGTGCAGTGCAATCATAGCGCATCTTATGGAGGAGAAGTCATTGCATTAAAGGAGCACTTTCCAAAGAAGGGTTGGAAAGGGAAGAGACTTCACAAAAGAGTCCAAGATTTCATAGAAAATTTTCACTTTTCTCTTTCCTCTCCAGTCTTCATACTCTAAGCACACCACCAAATTCAGGCCTTACCTTCTCACCCAAAGGTACCACACGAGCAAGAATACAATGACGATTACACAGCATAAAAATTAGTCTTTATGACTTCAAAGGAAGGATATCTTTCGAGAGGCACTGAAACTGCATCTACCTCACTCATGGAAAAAGTTTCATAAGGCGTCAAACAGGACGTGTTTTTTTGCGCCACCTGATATTTCTCCTGTGTAGCTTCATAATAAATCAAAGCGTTCATTTGCGGCTTCTCGATAAGTACTTTTCGGTGCAAAGGTATTCTCAATTTTTTTGCTCCATTTTGGGCTGAGGTAGGCCCTGACTGCCTTCGAGCAGAAACGTCCGTCGGATCGTGTAACTATTCTCATCTCGAGCAGACGATAAGGTGAGCTACTTGCACTCTAGTATGTACTCTCGGTGTTCAGCACATTGAAGTATCGACCGACTTCAGCGTAATGGCATTGTCAAAAGTGTTGCTCCATGTTTGGATCCGCGAAATCAGAAGATTGGATAGGCCTTATGTTTTCATTAGGGCATTGGCCTTCCCTTGCCTCATCTGTCCGCTCTCGAGTCGCCATTCGACTTCATCGACGATGGCAAATAGACTCGGTATTGGAGTTACCCTGGCAAACCTTGGTTTCACCTTGCTTTCTTTTATTTCCTTATTCATTGCGCCTTAAAAAAATCGCCATGTCAACGTAGTGACTCTCTAAGGCTCACCTCAAGGCCCTTCGACCTATCCTGGAGAGGATTACTGAGAGGGTAAACATCCTATTTGTGAAGGGTTCCGCATGTTCGAGACATAGTTCGTTGCTCCAAGAAGTATTTGAGACCAAGCAGTCGATGACGTCAGAAAAGAGGAAGGCTTCGCACCGAAAAGGACGTGAATATTTTCCTCCTTAATTATCTTTCGACTCGTGCATCTGATCCAGCACTAGACCAGAGGGCCTCAACATTTTCCGTCCTCTCCTACCCACCCCTTGGCGGAGGAAATTTAACTAGTACTTCTCGGTCAAACTCATAAAAAGGCACTTTCCGAAGCACAGTTGACAATCGTAATGGGACTGTTCGAAATGATGATATTATGCGGTAGAGATCATTGATGAATTGGGATTATCTCATGGATGAAATAAATAAATAAATCATTTTTGCATTCGGAGGACTTTACCCAGGCAGCACATAAAAATGATTCGATATAAACAGGGTATTACTTGAATCCGTCAATGATGACGATTTATACCTCCCAAGATTGATTCCCTGCATTCGCATGCAGTACAAGTATATTGTATGATAAGTGAAATATTTGTCAATGAATCGTCATGGCTTGTTGAAGGGTACATCCATCTTGCCAAAATGCAAATAGACTCCCAGGAAGCCCACATATTCACATTTTTTGCTAATGTTGTGTCACTCTAGCGGAAATTCCATGAACGATGAATCCGGCATTGCAAGTGAAAATATTTTTCCGATTACATCAGTGTTAGTTATTTTAACTTGTTCTGCTTGTCGATATTGGGCGACAAGCACCAGATCCGTTTAACTTAAAAACTAGAATGGGCGTCTAAGGGAATAAGATTATCTCCGTGAAATGGATTCCCACAGAGGAATCATTGTGAGATCAGATTAGTTTTTATTTTAAACAGATCTGGTGCATGTCACCCATTGACGTTGATACAGTAACACTTTTGACCAGGTTGATGTTTAAAAAAAGCCCTTGAAACAATGACCGACTCTTGGAATTTTCTTATCCTGACTTTTTTGTTGCTCAAGCTGATGAGATCGGGACAAACTTAAATTGCCCACAGTATTACCATCTCGCCCAGTCAGTGAATCTTGCTGCAAAGTTATTCATATCCTCTAAAGCGATTTTTATATGCACCTAAATCTTTTTTTTATTCTTTTAGGGAACGTGATCTCACACGATATATTGCCTAAGGAATTTCGGGTTTATATAAGCATGTAGAGCATGATAAGATTGATTCCGAAACTACCCTTCTTATATCATTTCTTTGCTGGCGTCAGGTTGAAGTTGGAAGTTTACGGTAACCTTGGGGCTACGCAGCGACGAGACACCATTACCGTATTGATTCGTGTCAGGAATATCAGTGACCATGCGATTCTTCTGTCCCAGAATGTCCTTGGAGTAACAAACAATCGGGTATCGACTCTGTCTGAGTTCTCTACTGCCGCACGTGAATTTAATAGCTTTTTAACCCAGTTGTCGAAATTCGTAACCCTCTGCCTACTGGGAGACCTCGAACATCGATGGTTCAAACTCCTGCCTGTCTGAAATTTTCAAATAACTGGCGAAGTTAGTGGCGAACTATGCCTGAAAACACAGCCATACTGCTTGAAATATATTAAACGAAGTGCAACCATAAACTTGGCTGTCTATAAATAGTCTGAAGTCTTTGGACATTGTTCATTTTTCTATTTGTTCTAATGCAATTATCGAAATTTAGGTCGGCTGCATCATTATTCATAAACAACAAAACGATACAAACTTTCTTTTGGAGAGCCAAATATGTTCATGTGATCAGATTCCAACCATTTGCTTCTTTAATTGTTCCTGTATTATTCTCCCATTAGTTCAGTGGCCCCGTTATGCATTCTCTTTTTTCCCCTGAAGCGATTTTGAAACTCTCATCTGAAACATAGAACCATGAATAAACACTACCAGCTTAACTTCAGCAGGATATGATTTCATGCTGAGCGTCTACGGTATTCCCATTTTCATAGCGGAATGAACTCATAAATCAGTTCCCGGAAAGGACCATCTTAGTATGAAATCATCGACATGGTTCATGTCACCCCCATGTCACCCCATGCATCACAACGAAAATATGGCGCCGTTTACTTCCCGGAAACCCGCGATTACGCGTTCTCTTAAAGTACCATCCCTTTGAAAAGCGGAGATTCTCTTACCGAGGAAGAAGGGGAAGAAGAAAATGAAAATATAGAGGAGGAAGGTCTCCATCCTGCCAATCCACCGTTCGACGACCAGGGAACTGCGGTCGTTCCCTGGTTGTGTTATTCGAAACGAGCGCAGAGTTACTAGGTTACTCCAGCCGTGCATCATAGTTACGAGCATGATTCCGACCGACATCGACCCTCCCGTCATCGACGGGAGTGCGTGTTTCCCTCCTTACCACGACAACCGAAAATACCTTCTATGTACTGTATTATCGATTGGGTTTCCTGCCATGCGAGTGATTCCAGTGTGCGATTTTCGGAGGGCGGCAAACCACTCACTACCTCCTCCTTTAATCTCCATCAATCGACATGATTTGCTTCCTCTCGATTCATCTACTGTACTAAGTACCATATACGAGAGCTGTTCATTTACAGTAATTCGCGGACAGGAGGAAAGGCGCGGAAAGGACAGGATTAATCAGATAAGGGCTACGTCGTTTCCTATCCTTTCCGATATTATCTTTTGATATTGTGACCAGAAGGAAACGGCCACTAATATCTTCGGTGGGTCGGATCACCGCACCTTTACATACTTGCAATGACCAAAAAGCAAAAGGAAATGTTTAAGGGGATCCCTTAGCGCAGGGGTGTCAAACTCAAATCGGTCTACGGGCCGCATTCCTTATCCTGCAGATGCCTGCGGGCCGCACCCATACTTTTTCACCGAAATTTGTTCTGACAGTCAATCCAAGTGGAAATTTCAAGAACAGACGACGGGCCGAATGAACTACCTCCGCGGGCCGGATGTCCCCTGCCTTAGCGGATAGTAAGGCGAGATGGCAAGGAGGCAGAAGAGCGCATTGCATGAGGCCTGGCATGAGGCCTCGCATGAGGCCCGGCATAAAGGATCAGATGGTTGGAACTGGACGCTGACGATGGTGTTCCCGGTCAGTGCGCTACTGCAGGAACTCCCTGCAATCATCGTGAAATTCCAGGTCCGAGACTGGCCAGTCCCAAAGAGAAAGAAAAAATCACGAGCACGCATCTCTTCCCCCGACGATCTTATTGAGTATAGACAACATGGAGCTCGACGTAAATCATCATAGAAATGAAAGCCCGAATTTCATTCAGCAAAAAAGTAGCGGAATGGGTCCCCCATGGTTTTCAATTGCATACTGGAAATATGGACGCCCTAGTAAAATTCCTTTGATAATAATTTAAAAAACTGAATAGTGATGTTTCGTAGCGTAGGGTAGTCTGGAGATTCCTGCTCCTGCGATGCCGATAGATGACCACATATTCGGATCGACGGAATTCAGCGTCCTCTTGTTGAGGAAATTCAAGGTTACTGCACCTATGACGGAGAGTGGACCATCATGTTGAAAGGCATCATTCTCTCCAGGAATTGGTTCCAATTTCAAAATCAATTTCGGTTATTACAATGAAGTATTTACCATTGGCAGAGCTTCCTGATATTGATAAGAGGAAAAGTGATGAGAAATAGAGAGGAAAGAGTTTAACATCGCTTAACCAAAAATGGCTCCAAGAAAGTCGATCCTGGCCGTTCATTCATCGCCCATGCAACGGTATATTGTATGCGTTCATTTCATGCTATTTTCCTCTTGTGCAGTAAATTGACGCTCAGGTTGTCTCGTAATCAGAGCCAGGATAAAGCCGGTTAGCTCATACAGTACTTTCTGCACGTACCCTCCAAGAGTGCACAAGAAATGTGAGACGATGCTTCCTTTTCACACATTCAATTCATTGGATCTTCCATCCTCTAGTACTCAGTAACGAAGGTCTCTCTGCAGATGTTTCGGAACAGTAAAAATAAAAGGGGATGAATAAATCGCAACCGTCACCGTAGGGCCTGTATAGAGCTCCTGGATTGGGCATCACTCTTTCATGAGCAAAGGTGTAGCCAAAAACAAATTTCTGGGGTTTGACTTTTTCAAGCTTCTAGAAGAAATATGAGAGAGACGTTCCCACTCTCCTGGAAAGCTTGTGGGAAAGTCTTTCCACCTCTCCTTTTCCCGCTTATTTTCATCTCTACGAGCACTCCTCTTTTCCTCATCGTAAGGATCGAATTTTTTTCTCTACATGTTTTTTTCCTGCTTCGTTCCCTCGTCTCGAAAATGTATGTGGCATCTAGATTTCTCCTCTGAAATCTCCTACCAGGGCCGGCGCGAGTACCCCTTCGTTCCCTGCGGCCGCAGGAAGCCCCCGCAGAATCCAGGGGCCCCAGCCCCAAGAGGAAGAAATAAATAATAAGATAGGAAGAACGAAAGAAAATGGAAAAAACTTTGAAACGCTGCAAGTTATTCCGAAAGAGATCCAACCTCTGAATGAGATGAAGAATATTCCTAGGTCTTCCTACTCTGGACAGGCGAGAAGGCCGAGCTGGGCGAAATCCGTCAACGTCCCAATGCATGCAATGAGTTCAGGACAAGAAGACTCAAGGTAAGGAGTGGGGAATACACCTAGTAATTCCTTGCTACAGAAAGCCTGTTGCCACTCAGCCATGCACGTTGAAGGAGCCCCAAATTTGCAAATTTTACCTATATTTTTATATTTTTTAATATTGAAAAACAGATTGTGAACCTGGTCGTAGAAGGGTCGGTCGCTTCCCCCCCCCCCCCGGATCGGCCATTGCCCCTCTTTTGCTTGCTTAGCTGGTTGTCTCGTCTTTCTCGCAAGAAAAATCACCCATGGTATATTCCAGAATCCGATCTTTATTTTTCCACCTCGTTTGCAAACGAGGTGCTAGTTGGACTGTTTGCTGGGACTGTTTGCTAGTCATTTTCCTTTTTTCTCATTTCAACTATTCAGTCATTCTCGAAAAGGTTCCTTCATCAACTCCCCCTGCAGTTCACTTCGGATGTGGAGAGAGGTGAAGGAAGAAGAAGAGATGAGTATGAAAAAAACAAGTGGTAGCCTAACTGTATCATGTTAATGTCAAAAGGAACTACCCCATCCGTACACGTCTGTGAGAAAATAAAAACCGATGTCCATCCAAGAATACTCTTGTCCAGCCAAAACTCTCCGCTTATGTTACGAAAAGTCGAAATGTCAAGGTTTCAGACACATAAATGAAGTTCGTAACATGGTCGCGAACGATGCGTAATCTCGAAGGTGACGATACCTCGCAATATGACAGGACATCGAAAAGGTGAAAAACGTGGAAGAAAGCACTCACGCTCGGATGGAAACCGTTGCCTGCCGTGTCTCCTCCCTTTGACATCACTAAGCAAGAGCTTGCGTTCGTGTTTCTCACATCAGAGCAGAATGGAGTTTGGGAAGAGGAGCAAGGGAAAGGACCTTCAATTGAGTTCCATCTATTTACGCGCTGACCAACTTCACAACGCTACCACTTCCGCTTCCTGTCCACTTCCGGATACATAGAATACTTTTCAGCTTTGAGAAATGATGAACGATGACAGGCCAATAAGCAGAATTGGTTTATCTGTCCCGTCATTCCCTTTATGTACCTTCCTAATTCGGAGCCGCTGTCGTGATTACGACCTTCTCTGAAACCGGAGAGATTTTTCCTGGTCTTTCCGATGAGATGGAATGACCATCAGTTGGATGAGCAATAGATGTTCATGCTTGGATAAAAGCAATTTAAAAAATATATTATTAAAGGAAATGTGAAACTTTTGTAAATAAGCATTTCCCTTTGAAATAAGGAAGTCACTATAACCTCAAGAACTCGTACACGAATTCCATAGATTTAAAATGGAAAGTTTTCGCGATTATAATAAAATAACTAAAAATAAGTTTTTCACGGCTGATATAAGTCACCGAAACACGTGTCGTCCTCTCTTGCAAATAATTTGCTTTCTCGTTCGTACAATGATGAGATATTGCATTCGTAAGAAGGGCCTTCGGATTTGACATAGCCTGGTCCTTGTTTCGTGACCTTCTTAGATACAATCATATAAGATAGTATTTTAGAGACTCTTTGAATATCTAGAATACTACTTTATATTATTGAGCATATTGTCCCTGTCTATTTCTCGGCAACATCTTGAGCAGGACATCCGTTACTGTGATATGTGGTACATTTAGGTGCCTTGCTGAACACTGGGTACCAAGAAGGGATTTAAAAAATAAAGGGAGTGTCCATGTGTTGGGAAATGAGCAAGAATCAAAGGGTGAGAAGTTCGGATTCTGACTTTTTCGAAAGCGTTCATTATTACCCCGGACAATTCTCTCCAATTCTCACGGTTTTCCTAAGCCATACAATAAAGCCACCTCAAAAATAGGCATACTTCATTCCAAATACGGCGGAGACTCTGACAAGGCAGAACTTTTCCACTCAGCTCCTTTGATGACTTGCATTCAGTAGTATTAGACCACCTCGATTGCAGAGCCTCCAAATAGTAATTAAAAAAATTGGAAGCGGTGATAGAACGGGACGTAGGCATTGTTCGCTTTTAGAGCAGAAGTCCGTGAACAGGAAGCTGAGTAAGCATTCAGACCGGGCTTCGTAAGAAATCAGAACCTAGATAGCATTCCGCATGTCTACGCATCTCTTTCGCTTCGCATGCCTTGCTTTGGCATGCTACGTGACCTCACCATGGAGCTATGTTAATGGGAATACGATATCTCAATGTGATGGGATGATGGGAATGGCAGTCATTTGGAGCGCATCCAGTTCGTGCTACACCAGCGGCGGGTTCGTTCCTACCCTGCCTCCATTGACTAGCATCTGTACTGTTGCAAATCACGAGCCGCCATTGTGCTGCACACGACTATAGTCTGGGTAAGGTTGAAGCCACTCAAAATTCAGTTCTCTGACCCCCAAACGTGACCTTGTGAGCTCTTCCCTTTTTCTCCCCGACTTCTCTAATGTATTCCCCGTCTGAAGGGACAGAGACCTTCCCTCTTCTGAGGAAACCAAAAAAATACTCGAACAGAACCACATTGTTCTGAGGAATGTTAGTATTCTCCAGAATGAATCGGGAGAAAATCCCAGTCGTGACTCACCTTGAAATTTAAGAGTGAGACATGGAGCAAAGAAAGGAGGAGCTTGTGTGTAACTTGTTATTCAGCCCTCGTGCTTGCCTTCAGGGCACGAGAGACGCGCATTATTTCATTCCCCATCTTCATCCGCGGTCGGCTTGTGTCAGGTTAAGTCTCCTATTGCAGCTATGTCGACGCCTGCTAATTACCGAGTGTGTCGTGACTTCCATCCATGGAACCACAGTGTGTCCCCTGTGTCTCGTTTTAGTCTCTTCCCCGTCACTGGGGAAGTGAAAAGACTTACATCCTGTTGCCGGAAATTGTATATTAACACCAGGTTGAGATTTTTTGTGCTTTTCTTCAGCAGATATGGAATCCTTCGTGAAAGTGCTATTGGCTTTAATTTGCTCTCAAGGACATAGTCAGAGAGGACGAGAGGTCTATGCCCAAATCAAACCTGTTAAAGCTGGAGATGTTCTCGAGCAGAGTAATCTGCAATTCTCCATCGATCTCTATCAGGTGATTCCTCGCTTCCTTGCTTTTTCGTTTCTGATAGCTGTAAGCATCTATTGCAGGTATGTTACTTTCGTGTTTTCTTTTTAACACTTGTCGGAGCTGGTTTTATCGTTTTATGACTATATTTCGATTCTATACGAATTACTGAGATGTAAGACCTTGAATCGTTGTTGTATGTCAACTGAAAACCTGTTTTCCAGAGCATGACTATATTGAATGTTACTAGGAATCGGTAAAGAGAGAAGGGAACGTGTTCTTCTCTCCCTGGAGCCTACAAACTACTCTGGGGATGGTGTATGCTGGGGCGGAAGGAAGAACAAAATCTCAAATGCAGAAAGCTCTCTCTTTTCCATCAAACAACTCAGACGATCTCATCTACGAGGGGCTCCATCGAAATCTCATCAGTATCCAGGTAACTATTGTTATTTTGAGTGATGGGCAACATTTTCTGACTACTGCATTTTATTGCTCAGTGCAAACAAATATACAGCATTAAGTCGTGCTGGTGATTTGGCACACGAACTCATGAACAAGATTTGGGTGGAGATCGCTTTTGTGAAATTTTATTGACACGAAAAATGGTATAAGTAAAATTTTCCAGCGTCTACAATAACGCAACCGCCACGATCACCAGAGATGCCTGTGTTACATTTTGCACATTACCTCTTTTCATGTTAAGTTTCCGTTACCTGGGTTCCGCTTTCTTTCAAACGACTTTGGCATCCGGGTATGGATGTCAACGCATGGCTTTCCCATGCGTTAATGTTGGGGTCCCCGAAAGGTCAAAATCAAACGACAAAGGGCGACATGCACCTTATCCGTTTAAGCTAAACTAATCTGATTTCACAATGGTCCCTGATGGGAATTAGTTTAACAGAGATAAACTTATTCCCGTAGACGCCCATTATGAAAACGAATCAGTTTAAAGTTAAACGGATCTGGTGCATGTCACCCAAAAGCTGTAAGAAGGCAGGCTGTTTCCCTCATGTTACGTAGGCCATCTCATTTCTATCTCATGCACAAATTTGACACTTTTACATTCTTATCCTGAAATTCAGACGCTTTTTTCACCTGTCAACTCGATCAAGTTCTGAATAATCTGAAATCCAGGTCTAAGATTATCATTATAGGCACTAGGAAGAATTCTTGGAACTGAGATATACTCCGGCTTTGTGGATTTTACAGGACACGAATAGCGTGGACTTCAGCCTGGATGCTGGCAGCAGGGTTTTCGTTTCTAACGATACGACGCTGAAACCCGGATATCAGACGATATTGCAGAACACTTTCCAGAGTGGGGCGAGTGGAGTGAATTTCCGGAACGAAAGTAATGAAATCCGCGAAGACATCAACGCCTGGGTTCGGCAGAAGACTCAGGGCAAGATCCTTGAGCTCATCCCCAACGGTCTCTTCCCTCTTTCCTCATTCTCCTCCGCCGCATACCACTGTGGCTTGCGCATCAAAATTCACGTAGTAGTCATGCGTGAAAACAATCATGAAAGAGCAGAAAATATAGCACGTCAGGGTTCATTTCAAGGTCAAGGTCTAAATATGTAAAAGTCATGTTTTTGGCAATCATCGCCGTTTCAAGAAGAGCTGCGTGCTACCATCGAAAGAAACCTAAGAGGAATCTATGCTTTTCCGCTTCAGCCCCGAAATCAAATTCAGGGCGAAAGAGCGGGATTGGCAATGCAAGACTCTATGCAGGAAACGTAAAAGACTTCTCTCTGATGCCATGGATCTTTGCTCATGCATTTAGGAGCCCTAGGACCAGACACAAAGATGGTGCTGGTGAATGCCATTTACTTCAAGGGGACATGGCTGACTCAGTTCAAAGCCGAGAAGACCTTACCGTCCGACTTTCACATCTCGAAAGATCGATCTGTCCAGACTGATATGATGAACTTGGAAACTAAAATCAGGGTTGGCCATCTCGACGATCCCAAACTTCAAGTCTTCGAACTCCCGTACGATGTGAGTCCTACTTTTTCCAGAATATACCCGGAGCGAACAGGATTTTTACGACTTCCTGTCCACCTTGATGGTTTTAATTATAGGGTGCTCGCTTGAGTATGATCGTGTTTCTACCAGAGGAGAATGATGGCCTGAAAGAAGTGGAGAGAAGATTGACGGCGGATACATTGAAAAGAGCCATGAGATCTTTAGATATTCACAACGTGAACCTCCTCTTCCCCAAATTCAAGATTGAACACACCCTTCCCGCGAAGGATCTCCTTATCCAGGTTCCCCTCACTTCCGCAGACGATTCCCGTTTCTCTTTTTGTTTTTTTGTTTTTTTTTTATTTTTTTATTTCACGCATCGAGAGCCACGTTGAAAGTGTTGGGAGGGAGGACATTCTACGCCTTCCATTCAATTCGTACGTGGAATGTGAAAAGGCAAGAGAATCAGAATACCATCAACAGGTATTCTGGGAGAACTACAAGCTCTCTAATGTCATGATTTCATTCCTTAATGCAAGCAAAATCGCTTCGTATCGCTAATGAGGCAATTTTGAAAAGAAAAAAAATAAAACGATTAGAGATCCCTCTCGTGCTGCCGACCGTCGGCGCAAGACCATGGATTAAGCCGAAATCCCTACTTGGTACTTTTTTGGTAAGCTGATGTGATTAAGTTATAAATATTGGTGATGTATAATATGTATATACATACACGCGATAGTGTGAAGGTACTATTGTGAAGGTAATATTGGCACATTTCGGAGTTCTTCAAAGTGCTGAATTTTGGAGACAGGTAAATGCTGTAAGTTTCAAGCAAAAAACTGCTTGCTATCTGAATATCCAGTCAAAATCTCTTACCTTTCAGCTGTCCATGGGCAGCCTGAAACTTTTCAAGCACTTTGCCAAAATTTCTACGAGTGTACATGTACAAAAAAGTGGACAAATGTGGTCGCCCACTCATGCAAATGAGGGGAACGGAGATCTGGGATTGCAGGATATTTGTAATGCATGTTCCAGAGATTGGTCACAAGTGTTGGGCAGGGATACAGGCCGTCATGTTACACAAACATGCTCAACAAAGATCGTGACAAAAGTCCCATCGATGACAATATCATAGAATGAATGCTTCGGTAAACATGAAAATGGATCACACAGAGCACCAATGTATGGGGTCTTTCAAAAGTCATTTATACGCGTCGGAAAATCACCTCCAAAAGTATCTCTTAGTTATGTTATTTCCCAGCAAGGATAGTGTCTCAAAGTGCTTCTTGGACCAGCAAATGACTCAAATGTTCGAACAATTCCAATTTTCACAGTTTGTGAAAAGACCATGCTCTGAAATTGGTCTACCTGCCTACTAGTATTGATAATGCACTCTCACATTCGGGTGGCCATATTTAGAGAGATCCAATTGTACGCTTCCGGGGTCATATCCATGACGTTCTTAATGTTCTCTTAGTCTCTGCGCATTTTTCGGCTTATTTACGTAAAAACAATCCTTTAGAAGCCACAAAAAAACTGATGAGCTCAAATCTGAGGACTTTGAAGCCAAACGAAAGTCACATATCAATGATAAGACAAGATCTGAAAATTGCCATAACTGAAAGTTAATATGCTAAAAGTAGGTGCGCTGCCAGGGAAATGTTATACATGTGACGTGCAGTCACTTAGGCTGATTTTTGGGCAAAACAGCACAAAATTAAAAGACGGACTCTATGAAAGAAACAAGACTTTCTTTTCACTGTTTAAATGGCAAAGAAAGGTCCATTAGAAGTATGCCCAGATTTAAAAAGGCATATTTTACAGTAATGAATTCTGAATTTCCTGTATGAGTTGGGAAGTATCACATTTGAATTCGACTAAATCAAGTTCTGCAGTAACAAACTGGTTCACATCCAAAAATCTACTGAGAATCATCAAATTTGAATGAAGCATTACATTCTCATCAGCCAATGATCTCAAGATCAATTGATTGATTGATTAATAGTACTCTGAAACGCAAATGTAAATTAGAAACATTGGAAAGGTGAAAAGGGAATAACTGAAATGTGAAGATTAAAAAATGAAGAGCGAAGCTGACAGCCATGCGGTTTGCCAACAGCGCACAAACCCATTGTGGTAGATACAAAATATTGCCAAAAGTATGGCCATACCATAACCATGCAATAGGTAACCAATTATCAGGTATATAAGGATTAGGGTCTTACATATTTGATAGTTGGTCTAGTAGGGCATGGTCTGGAACATCAGTTGACAACATTATGGCAGTTCAATGGGAGCGTGGCATGTTCTAACGGGGTATGGTAATTGGGTACCATTTGGCAGGAAAGCCTAACGTAGCTAACACAATACTTTTGGACCTGCCCAGGAAATGAGGTGCGTTGTGTTTCAACACAATGGAATTATCGTGGGCACACAGGTAAACTTACCTAGTTAGGCCCGGGTTCAGGTCGTCATCTGTGCCATGGGGACACAGCACCATATTAACAGGCGAAGCAATGACCATATATGTGAAAGCGTCTTGACTTTCGAGAAGATAGTGCATGTACTCCACTCGCTAAACTATGAATTCAGTCTCTCCAAGTTTTGGCAGATTGTGTGAGGGTTGACTCCATCTTGCTGATCCCAGTCAAGGTTAAAGTCTTGCTTCATTTTGTCCCTCGGGGGGCGCAAAAATTTAGCAAACACTAATATGTCGTGGTCCTTATTCACAATCACTTCTTGCTTGTTCTCGGTCTCCAACCAAAACAAGTCCCTGACATCATGGGAACAAATGAGTCGGCAGGATATCTTATTTGAGGAAGGGGGGGGATGGTCCCTAAAGAGTCGCGTTTGCGCATGCGCAAATAAGGCCAAAAATATGCAGAGACCGAAAGAGAATATTTAGGGTACCAACATGGATATCACCCCAGAAAAATACTATCGGGTCATTGAAATATGCCCACCCGATTGCGAGAGTGTTTCAATAGGCAGGGTGGTTATTATTAGCGCATTGTGTGATTTTATTTTACTAATTGTGAGAATTTACTAATTTACTAATTGTGAGAATTTACTAATTTACTAATTGTGAGAATTTACTAATTTACTAATTGTGAGAATTTACTAATTTACTAATTGTGAGAATTTACTAATTTACTAATTGTGAGAATCCAAAATCAATTAAAATTTGGATTATTATCTCGTATTAATCTTGAAAACACAATATGAAATATTCTTTTGCTGCTTTGAATACCCTTGTTATAGCTTTTCTTTAATACTTTGCGTTATATTTTTGTATATCTGTCAATATTTGCGCGTTTAAATGTGTCAATGACTTTTGAAAAACGCTCCGTCTGTTCTTTTACTCTTCGAGAAGCTTGGCATATCTTCCCAAAAGTTTGGAAGATTCTGTTGGCCAGGGAGCTATCCGGGAATTACATCATTCAAAGCACTTTGTGGATAGCCCTTATAATCAGGACCAAAATCACCGTAGGTCTGTTGTTTAGTTTGACATCTAGCAACCCGGCGGGGGGGAAGTTGAAATCGCCAGAAGTGCACAGTAGTGGGACTAGTATGAAGATCTGCAGAAAAAGGGCCTTCCTTTCAGTACAACTTCGTTCTCTTTACATTGATTCCATAGCTGAGAAAGTCTAGTGAAGACTTTTAATCCCAAGTGATTTTCAGGCTCATGTTTTCGGAGGCTGGGGGAGCAAACCCTCCCCCCACCCATAGCCCTTCGCCTTCCTCACATCCTACTGCCCCATCCCCCACCCCCGCACCCTTGCAGTTTACGAAATTACGTCCCTGGTTATTACGAATACTCGGATACGTGGACTGGGAGAACATTCAGCGGCCACTTTCCACAAAAATCGCGTCAGCCCAGGAAAAACAGAAATAGAGACAAACTGGTTATTGGAGAGTGTCATAGTGCTGGTAGATGCTAGGTTCCCGTGAGAAAAAGCTGAGAAAATGAGCCAGAATAAAAATAACACGAGCAATGTTCCTCGAAGAGATGAAAGAGGTGAAGGAGGAAACCAAACCTAGGCCTGAGACGTGATAAGATTTCCATAACCTCTGTTCTAAGCTTCGACCAACAACGGCGTGAAAGAGGTGTACGGAACACGAGCACGCACACGAGCTCCAATTCCATCTCGCTAAATGTGACATGAAATTGGGGTCACATCTCTTTTGAATGGCTTCCATGTTGCGATAGTGAACAGGCTAATGATTGGCATCGTGAAGAGGTTGACAGTAAAAGTGTGAGCTCCGAAATGACTAAAATGTCACTTTCGCCTACCCCTGTCCTAAATACCACTGAGCATACGGGAAGTTTTCAGGGTTGAAGGCAACTAAGGACTGAAGGAAGGACCTCTTCCCACGCTTTGCGAAGAATCTTAACCTTTATTGTACGAATTTCAGATATATCTAACGCTTTACACGTTTCACATCAAAGAGCCCTTCTGACCCTTGGGTAGGCTTCTAACCCCAAAAAATTATGTAATGGTCACGTGATGAAGTTGGTGCATGCTCCTAATCAGTCATTTCATTCATGCCAGACTGTTTTGTAGTAAATATTTGCTTCATACAATGGCTTTGCTGATATTCTGTGCTTTGCAGACAAGTTTGCTCCTCGCTAGTGCGGTGTTTTGAAACATGAGGTATTGTTTGGATATACATCGCTCGCATTTAAATTATGTTCCTATGTAAGTACTTAAAATATCACATCTTTATTTTGAGAGGAAAATCATATATTACACGCGAACATCGTAAAAGTGTAGATAAAAACCCTAAACCGTCGCGAAACTTTCTAAGTAATTTACCCGGGAAGAGGGTGAAAAATTGTTAATATGTACAGCATCCTTCGCTCTTTCACGTGGTTTTTGTTTTATTGTCGTAGAACAAAAATAGCGAATATATAAACGTTTTCATAATATACAACGCCTTGGGGCTTAAAAGGGCAGAATCAGATTCCGGCCTTGTGCGACCAAAGTATTTAAAAACCCCATACGATAAATGTTAACAATTTCAACCCTGGCGAATTGAATGTGCCTTGGGCTTTGAACGTCATACGACGGGTATAAACGTTATACGACGGGTATAAACGTTAACTGCTACGCTCGAGATTTCTCGTGTGAACGCAGACGCGCCTCTCAACGCAAGCCTAGGAATTCTCCTTTTAATCTTTATGTCCAAAATAACTAATAAAGGAAGATAATGTGAGGTAAATTTGCTTCTTTACACGTTTGCACTTTCAAATTGACATAGCAACAACAAAAAATTCGATACAGGATAAGCATATTTATTTTCGAAACTTTTTCAGGTTTGGAATTATCGTTTTGGCAGCACTGTCAGAATAAACTTTAAAATATTTTATGAGGTGCTGCATGCACGCCTAAAAATATTCTTAAAATGACTGTCTTGCTTTAAATTCTATTCTCCCTCCCCCATCTATCCTCCCCGTTTCTACCTTCTCTTTCATCTTTGTCCTCTTGCCCTCGACATGGGTATTTTGTATCATGACTGCATAGGCCTATTCCGCAAAGATTTATTTTGGCAGAATTTGA